CATTATTTATTACATAAAAAATATCGCAAGAAATAATTCGGAAACAGTAACGTAATATAGAAAACATTTTTTAATGTCAATTTCTGTATTTTACTCAATAGATATTTTACCAATGTATGTATCTCTCGTTTTCTCCTGTATTATTAGGATATTTGATTAAAATCACGTCCCAATAAAGTTCCAACGTTTCAACAATTCCCAATGGCAGCAACAAGATCAAATGTACTATCGATACCGCGAGCAACGTTCTACTTGAATTGTTTGTTCTGTTGCTTCTGTACCTAAAATTATCTGAGGCGAAGGTCGCTGTTAAATCTTCCCGTATGATGACGTCGTGATCAACGATCGCGACGAAGACTTACGAGTTAATTCGTTGTGAATCTTATAAGACTTCCTCATACGAACAATCAGTAGCAGATTGCCGATCGATATAAAAAGCAATGGCAGCCACGTGGACAGGGCGATGTAAAAGTACATGGCGCTGCCCCATGGCTTCATCTTCTGGCACGGTATAAATTCGAAAACGCTGTCAGTTTCGTATCCTACAATCAACGTAAGTCAGCATTCATTGACGAGAAGAGAACAATCACATATAATCGCAATTGACTCGCAAAGGGGAAAGGTGATATGGAATGTACGCTTTACCGCCAGAGTACAGCTTCGTTAAGGATATTATAAAGCTTATGCAGACTAGACTAGTAATAATTGTAATCGCCGAGCGAGTCTGATCGCGAGCTCCGAATGGAAACATCACGGCGATGGCACGCGTCCATGTGAGAGCGACAATCAGCCAGGTTGACGTAAATTGAAAAAGTTCCATGCTCACGGAATTTGCACCGCATAAAAATTTGCTGTTCTGTAAAAAAATTATTCTGAGCGCATCGTGCAAAAGTTTGATTCTTTCGCAATCCATTTTCTTCTTAATATTTCAAAATTTATCGAAAATGTTGAAATGAATTTACACGCCTAGGAACTTCTTTTTTTTGTTTCATCATGTTCACAGAATTTTTATTAATAAACAAATTAACATGTAATGATAAAACATTGCGTAATATGAAATAAGAGAATATTCTCATAAAAATATTAATATCACTAATGTGTTGAAAAGCATTTGTTAAAAAAAAAAAAAAATGAAAACAGAATAACATGTATTAATAGTAATAATTGTAATTAATAGAAGATTCATTTCAAAAATCAAGCATCAGTCAAATCACTATGACAATCTACTGTTAATAGGTCTACTTTTACAGTTGAACTAGCTTACTCTTGGCATTTAAAGTAAAATAAGTATTTGATATTTAAAGTAAAATAGATGTTTGATATTTGGTAAAAGCGAGAGAAAGTGCAGTCCAGTGCAGCAATAAAAATAAACTTAATATATAATTTAAATTTCAAGATATCAATGATCAATCGAGTTCAAGGCGCCGATGAAAGAATAATTTTTTTTTCCAAACAATTCCTTTCGGTTGTATCATCGTACATACAATAAACTTCCTCAGATTTCGACCTTTACTAAAGTCTCTTCTTCAGTCGACGTTGAGATTTATTCAGGGCTATCAATTGAGGAAGACCTTGATCCAATTGAAAGGAACAGTTTGAAGAATAAATTGAAATTATAGTTATCTTTATTAACCAGAGCCAACCAAATTGATTTTGTTCCGTCTGAATGGACGAATTTTTTGTGGCAGGAGGACCGATATACAATAAGAGAAAATTAATCAAACACAGGATATTTACCATAAAAAGATCGTTAACAGATGAGGAGTGTGATTTTGCGACGCTGACGGCGTAATTGAATATTAACGCTCCATTGTCCGATATAGCGAGCGCGCTTAGATAAAGTGACAAATTGGAGTCACATAACACAGGTGCGCTCAACATACTAAAAGATACAGCATTTAGCAATACACCTATACGAAGTGGGTTACAACATTGTATGAGAACAGTAATCGAGAATTGTAAGATGCACATCGCGATGTTTCTTACCGAGTATTATAATAAATGGCGTTACATAGCGGAGCAAGAAACGGACGGATTTGACGAATGGTTTTAAAGACAGCCAGTACGAGCGTACTTCACAGGGCCATTTAGTTTCTAAATCAGGCTGACTAGTATTGCGAATGAAATCCAAAACTGTTATTGGCAAGGAACACTTCGGAACGACTCTGAAATTTTAAAGGATATAGGATTTGCGATAATTCAACGTGCGCATAAAAAATTAATAAAACTTATATCACATGGTAAATCATATAATAAAAAATTATATAATAAAAAAAAATATATGGAAAGAAGACAGTTTCGCTGAAATATCTAAAAATTTAGTTAGATATAAATTT